TTTAACATCCATAATATATAAATAACTCAAAAAACTTAACAGCAACTCCCCCTATAACTCAACCAATAAATGCCCAGACTAAACAGACCTACTTCTCAAAAGAAGAAATACAAATGGCCAACAAATAAACATGTTCAAAATCTTTAACAATCAGGGAAATGCAAATCAAAACTACATCATGATTTCATCTTCCTCCAGTTATAAGGGCAGCCTTTAAGAATATAAATAACAAATATGAGAGAATGTGAGGATAAAAGGAATACTTCCACATTATTGCTGGGATGATAAATTAGTACAACAACCATGGAAATCAGCATCGAAGTTCCCTAAAAGGCATGGAACCACACATAACCCAGCTATACTGTAGTGATACATGCATACCCAAGTTTATAGTAGCACATTTCACAAGCCACATTATTGGACCAGTCTAGGTGTCTGTCAATGAATAAATGGATAAAGAAAATGTGGTACATATGTATAGTTAAGTTTTATTCAGCCATAAAGAATGAAATTATATCATTTTTAGAAAAATGGGTGAAACTTTAAAGCATTAAATTAAGTGAAATAAGTAGAACTCAGAAAATCAAGCAAGGGTCCTATGCTTTCCCTTTTATGTGGAAGCTACAGAAGAACAAGGATAAAAAAACCAGGGGGGTAAGTGGGTGTTTCATGAAAACAGAAGACAGACCAGTAGAAAGAATTAAGGAGACCAGGGAGAGGGGGGTAGAAAAGGAAAAGGGAGATACTAGGAAATGAAACTATTGTGTGTACATGTGAATATGTAACAACAAATTCCACTATTATGAATAATTATAATGCACCAGTAGAAAAAATATAGGTTAAAAAAAAAGGCAAATACACTTTCTCTGCCCCTCAAACACAACCCCACAAGAAAAAGAAATATAGATAAATGACATCTCAAAACAAGTGATAAAAGAAATGGTACCTTGATCTTAAAAAAAAAACCTCATAATTTGATTGAAATTAGATTGATTCTATAGCAGATAACAATTCATTTAAAAAACTGAGCAAAACAAATTTTCAGGCAGGATATTAGGGTTAAGGCTTCAGAATAGATAGATGTCATCCTAATCTCTTATTAAAATACCAATGAGGGGCTGGGGTTGTGGCTCAGAGGTAGAGCGCTTACCTCACACTAGAGAGGCCCTGGGTTCCATAAAATAAATAAAATAAAGTTATTGTGCCTACAACTAAAAAATAAATATTAAAAAAAATACCAATGAATTTATATGAGTGAAAAACTGGAAAAATAGCACTAGAAATTAAGACACTGACACAATTATTAAAATATACTAGAAAAAAATCCATGAACCATTTCATTATTAGGGATAAATTAAAAAGTGAATTCCCAGACTGTAATTTACATTTGTTTAGACTTAACAAGGGGCCAGACTGCAATGCCCACCAAGGGGTCTTAGGCTCAACTAAACATTTAGACTCACAAACATTATCACAGGTCACATTTAGTTCCAATTTACTCAAAAGGTAAAAGCTTGGTAGCAGAGGAGTAAAAGAGATTTTTTTTTTTCCCCAGTGACAGTATTCAAGAGTATACCCCAAGTGCAAAGGAGATAGGACTCACATAGGTCACACAGGAAGCACCTTGGCTAAAAAGCCTTACTCACAGAAGCCAAAATCTCTGAGCCTCTCTCTGACCTCAAATAACTCTCTCTGAGCCTCAAATAACCTGCCAAACAATAGGAGTGACTTCATTCAGGAAAGTACAGATACAGCTTTTTATTTGATTTATAGTTCTCCTAATCCAGATGCAATCTATCATTCAAGGGGTCATTTTTATTATATCTTTTAGGCCACGGGTTCTCAACCAGAGGAGATTTTGCCACCAGGGTATATTTGGCAATGTCTAGAAACAGTTTTGATTGCTACAGTTTGTAGGTTGTTACTGTCAGCTAGGTCAGCTAGTGGGCCGAAGCCAGGAATTCTATCAAATATCCTCCAATGTATCAGACAGTTCCATATAGCAAAGAATTATCTAGCCCCAAATAACCATAATTCTAAGATTAAGAAATTTTGCTCTAGGACTAGACTACATACTTTGGAATCATATCAATATGAGTTTAAATTCCAGCTGTACTAGTTATAACATGTACAAACTTGAGCAAATTATTTGAACTCAAGTTTTAGTTTTCTCACCTGTACAATGTATAACAATATCTATCTGATTGAATTTTAAGGATTAAAATAATTCTCATCTCTCTTCTTGGCACATGTAAGTGTTGCCCTGGCAATGCCCACCTCAACAGATCATTATTCAACATAAATAAAAGATTAGAGAATAGGGTTGGGGAAGGACACTTGGGGGACTACAAAA